TAAATCAATTTATGAAATGAAATAATAAATAGGCGCTTCTTAAACAAAAAAAAATGGTAGATTTCCTTAGTGTTAAAGGTTATTGATAGATAGATAACTTTAGGATAAAGAATTAGTTTCGCGATCGGTTCATAATTTTCATTTCCGAAGCCCAACTGTAACTGCTACCTTGATGTGGTGGTCGGGTTTGCTTATCGTGATGATCCAACCGAGCTATATTAGCTGGAACATATGTTACTGAAGGTTCTAACATGCCAAGCAGGTCGATTGGAGAATGATGAGACTAAAAGGTCTGACAGCGAAGTCGTACTGCTAACTGAAGAGATGTGTGAAAGCAGTAAGGTGTCTCCCTCGGACAACCAGCATCTGCAGTGATGCTGCCTTCTTACAAGGAAGGAAGGGTTAGAAAAGGTCGACCCTAAAAATGTCACACCTCACCCTACCTCACGGATTTGTCTGTGGCAGTAAAGCCTATTAAACAAGAACGGAACTAACACTTTAAATACTACGCATAAGAAAGCCACGCGTGACCGGCCTCAAGCAGATGTCCGTTGGGCTCTGCGGTCACGCTCCCAGGTCTCCAAGACTAACACTAATCTACCTTCCTTTTCAGGTCTCTCAAGAAACACCCTTCCACGATGTGAGCAGCCACGAAGTGACAACCGCCCTCATACTCGTAACAGCACACGAGACCAAAGTGTTCAAAAACAAAGCCTTCCTACACCCCCCTAACATCTCTCGCCGTACCGCTAATGCTAACGATGCAAGTTCACAAAATGTCATTTCTTGTCTCCTGAAACCCCGTTCTAAACTACATGTTGGGGCATTCAACGTTCAGACATTGTGTCAAACAGAGCAACAGGCTCCTTTAACTAGGGCTTTAGAATCTCACACCATAGATGTATGTTGCGTCTCCGAAACGCGCATACAGGATCCTAATAAAATCATTAATTTAATCTCACTTTGTCAAAATAAAGAAACAAATGACTGACTGACTTTAGAAGCATCAACGTAGTGGCTTCTCTTTCAACCATCGCTGCTCTACTCCGAAATGAAGTGTTGATGCTTGTCCATCGTGATGATCGAACTAAGCCAAATCGGTTGAAGAAGCACTTGTTCCTCACGTTCTGCAGATGAGTGCAAAGACCTAGTGAAGTAAATTCAACTCCCAACGGCTAAGTTGCGCTACCGACTGTATTGCTGTGAGATGGTAACCAAGTGTGGTCCCTTCAAGTGAATAGAATCATTACCGATCATGTCTGCCCACAATGGATGAGGTTTGGAAAAGGTTGAATATAAAAGCAGTGCCCACCACCTTACGTTACGAATTAAATGTGATATCTAAAAATTATGGTTTATCAGGGTGCTAAGTACCTGTGTGATTACGCTATAGGACTAGACAGTGCTATTTAGGTCTCAGTGTTAACATTTAGATAGTGTCTGGTTTTCGTGACCGTTAATGTATACTTACCCTTGCCTACATAATTGCAGGCTGCTGAATGCCCCGGTACGGATCGGAGTGCGGAGAGTTCACTTTCTCTCTCTCGATATTCTCTCCTACTCACTGCTTACTCGTGGCACATAGTGTTGTTTACAAATTTGAGAGAAAGAAAAGTATGTGACGTAAACATTAATCAGGCTGCTGGGTACGAAGCATCCATCTGACAGACAGACAGACAGATACAACGCAGAACTTCGTACGCATCCATCTAGGGGAGATTGTAAACCCTGATTCCAAACTAGTAGCGCACAGAAGCTCCAAGACCCTCAGGGAAAGAATGGCGTATAAACCTATTGTTATGCACCTGCTACCGTGAGATGGAATTCCTGAAGTTACTTTTCAGCCTTATGGATTAAAAATTTCGAGTCAATGTCTCGAGTGGTTGTTTTTGAAGAAAAACTACTTGCCTCAGTTTGAGTACCCAGTCGCTAGAATAGAAGCCAATGGCAGTCCTCATGTATTTCTCTCTTTCATTCACTTGACATAAGCAAACTATAAAGAATATACTACATCTTGGAATAAAGAACGCGATCAATCTAATCATCGAGCGTTTCGAATAGCCAAGTATGAAACGGAATGTTCGTAACTGGACGCAAGCATGAATACAATACCAGAAAGTTAAAGTTTAGCGTCACACTAGTTCCGCAGTAGTTCCTTTCCGTCGGCATGACAGTAGATTTGAACATATACATAACGATTTCAAATAGCTTCAATTATATCTTTACTTGTATTGTCAGTTTCATACGATGGCCTAGAAGCGGTGCAGAGTTTTCTCAACTAACTAATCATACACGCTCATTTAAATAACAAACAATGTGTGTGTGTATAATCAAACCATTTCCTTGTTTCCCACATCACGACGTAATAATTGTTGTGTGCAATTATTTAATCTGATTACAGTAATTAGACATTTAAATTTTTCAAAACAAACAATTTATCATAAATGAAATTCAATCAAGCTGTGAATTATTTTAAAAAAAATAAAAAAAACAATCATACCTGTAATACAAATTTTGTATCGAAATAACGTTTAGCAATATTTGGTTGAAAATTCGGCGATTCAATGAAACGTAGTAGGAATTCATACACTAACTGACAAGAGTGAAGAAAACATTTTTTTAAAATATATAAATATCTATATATGTATAAGAAATAGATCATATAAAAAATTTTATCGAAAGAAACCACTTTTCATTTATTCATGTATGAAAATGTAAGGTTATACAAGATTTGAACGAATTAGTTTAATTGAAATAAGTGTACGTAGTGTAGCCACTGAAGGTTAGCACTCATCCTCTCTCTCTCTCTCTCTCTCTCTTTGACACGAAGATGTTCGTATAAACAAAGCTCTCTAATATCCTCAATTAAATAAGACCAGGTTTTACAAGAATAAAGTAAAACGGCCCTGCCATTGCAAACGATTTTGAGCCACTTAATTCAAAGTCCCTAATTATCGGTTACTATTATCTCGCGGATCCCAAACCGGTAGTCTACACTTAAAAACATGGATCTGTGCCTTATTTCAGTCTGACCAGACCAAGATTTCTTCTAGTCTACCTCTATATCACAAAACATCACTCGTCTAGATAATTGGTGGTTGGACATATGTAGTACGTGTCCTGACCACCTCAATCGATGAAGTTTCAATAATTTATCTATTGATCTGCCATCCGTACCTAGCACCTATTTTCTAACAAAAGCATTGCTTACTCGACTGTCCCAGGACATACTAGCAATTCTTCGAAAACACCTGTGATCGAATACTAGTACCCTATGAATATTCTCGTCTCTTACTGATCATGTTTCACACACGTAAAGTAGGAAAGAGCAAACTGATGAGCAGTAAAATCGTTCTATGGTTAACAGATGGATATCTCGCCAACGTCAAAGGTGACGCAAGCTAGCAAAAGCCAATCTAGCCTTTTGTATCCGCACTGGAGGTTCGTCGTACACCAGGCCATCAGCTCTGACGAGACTCCGAAGATAAGTGAAGCGCACAACACTTAAATAATTCACTACCTATCAAATTTCGCATTTTAAGTAGGAGAATCGCATCCCTGCCTTTCATTAGTCTTCGAAAAGTAGAATCTACTCATCAGCATATTCTAAGTCAACAAGTGAATCTTGCGTAAAAGTTCAACTCCTGGAAAGTAAGATGATGAAAGTGTCGCTTCTAAAAGCATATCAATGACGAAGTCAAACAAGTATATAAAGTAGGCAACACTGACAAACACAACTGGATGTAATCAATTCCGATGACAGTTCGCCATAAGCTCTCACTCGGCCAGTAGTGTTCGAGTACAGAGCTTGTGTAAGGTTAATTTACCACTTGGGTGCACAATTGACACTTTCATAGAACCTCAGGATAGGCAGAGTGAAATGCCACCTGAAGGTGAAGAAACACAAATATTATCGGAAGCTGAAACGTCTGTGTATTATAGAACCTTACGTAGTGTAAAGATCTGGTATATACAGACACTTCGAGGTTTGAAACCACACTCGATTTCTTGATTCTGATCTTAATGAGCCCTAGTTAGTTGTCGCAGTATTATTGAAGCTAATATCTTAGACTCTTTATTAGTTTGACTGATTCTTCGGTGATTGTTACTAGAGGAATTTTAGCTTTTCTTACCTACCGGGACAATCAGCGCTTGAAACGAGTGATAAAAGATTACGTTAAGTTCTCAGATTCTACTAAAGATCTCAGTTAATCTCACTGTTAAAACTGGATGACAATCATCAAATATCTCAAAGGTTAATACATCTGCGTCTACTGCTTTTCCTCGCTTTAGATTTTCTATAGTCTTTTCAACTTCATCAAGAGTCTCAGGACTTATACCAATTAGCCATTCAGGTTGACTGTAGATCGTAGGTAACGGAAATGTGACTGAAGCCCAGGTGAACTGATCCCTAAAGTGTCCTGCCCATCAATACAATCTCCTGTATTGAGAATAAATAATAGTCCCGTCTTTTTCTGAGATAGTCTTACCAACAGTCGGATTTCTAATACCAGTTTCTTTATAAGTCTGAACAGTTGTCTACTGTTAACTATAGCCGCTGCCTTTTCCATCACTCTTGCTTTCGCTACCCACCACTGTTTGCTATCATTGAGTAGGCTTTTTATCAGCCTACGATTACGCTGACTACGCTTGTCATCAGGTTGGAAGCCAGATGGGATGAGTTTCCAGATATCTGTCAGTTCCGTAGATGCTACTGAGGTTCACTGCTTCTTACTGACTCCATGGTTTATCGTACAAAAAGATATCACTGCTGTTTCCTCAGCTTTTCAAGTATCATTCTAAGCTTTTGAGAGATGTGCGTCACTTACGTATCTGCCTAACTGTTATTTTAGTTGCTCCTAAAATGTACTCTAGGCTTTGTGATCGTTAAGTAGAACTCTAAGGGGTTTTCCTGCTTACATCCAGTAAGAAGTAGACATATACGCGATCACACCAGAGCAGGATCTGAATATAAAAGTATGCCTCAGAACGAACTATAGTCTTATGACAAACCTTTCGGTCTGTGACTGATAGCGATGTGATCATGCTGAGTTCACCATCGAGCTGACGTTCAGCATTTGCTAAAAATACACGATTATCTGAGCATAGCTGCACCGGACGGTCGCCATTATCGATTCTTTGAGCCCTGAAACCATAAGATCCACCCAGGTGTCCTACAGTATCACTTAGTCTACTACATAAGGAACAAAGTCACCCACAACTATTACTACGTCAGAGCTCTTAAAATTTGGAAGTCCAAAAGCTTTCTGTAAAATTCATCTTTAACCTTGTCCAAGCTGCAGTTAGTGGAAGCGTAGGTGACCAGTAGCAACGGCGAGTTTCCATGTCTTTTCAAGTCGTTACCTTTTGTCAGAAAGCGTAGAAGCACACATCTCCTGGGATCCAGTTTAATAGATCTCATACAGCTACACAGATACACAAACATTTCTCTCACTCCAGTCTGCTCACTAACAGCTAAGGTAACAGTTAAGGTTGGAAGACTGTGCGGAGTCTTACATTCTGATAATGAATAATATTTAAGTGACAGAATTATTAGACAACATTTCTATTGTACTTTTAAAATTAAAAATATGCTTAACTAAAACTGACTGTTTTTTGTTAACAAGCTTACTTGTAAATGAGGCCATGCAGCCTCCAATGTTGGTTCATCCTCTTCTGGATCAAATTCTGCACCAGATGGATTACTTGGTGGTGGTAAGGTGCGAAACAAATTAGCTTCAACCATTCGAATAACTTCTGGATAGATTGCATCAGTAATTATACCAGAATTTTCAGTTAAATATTCTGTTAATTCATGCAATGCAGCACGTTTCACTTCTTTATCTTTTAAATCACTTAAAATATCCGGAACAAATTCAAATACAACAGAGCATTGTTTGAGTTTTTCAATAAATAGCTCTTCTCGTTTCTCTTGATTATCAGCATCTAATAAATTTTAAAAGAAATTTTGAGAATTTTAAACTAAAATCAGTAAAAACTATGAAATGCGTGGAAAGGGAAACTAAAACAGCGATTTTATATAGTAGCACGATTGACCCAATTGGCCAAACCAAGGTATACCATCAATACATGAAGTCTATTTCTGTTCAACTGAATTGTGTTGATGGATACCATGTTATTATTGTACGAGAAATAACAGGGCAGAGACGTTGGGTAACAAGACTTGCAATCGGCTACCATGGTTTATATACACTTATTCCTAATCTCCTTATAAACTTCAATGTTACTTGGTACTTTTATTTTTCAAACTAAAAACTTATCGAAACGTATTCTTTAACCTTTATTCATGAACACTATCCGTACTACTACTACTACAACTATTGGAACTCTTAAACTAGTAGTAGTGTTGATTTAGTTTCACTATGCTGAAATGTTATATTAACTTGGGTTGACTGACATTTATGAATGATAACTGAACACTATTGCCCGATTTCATACTGATTTGTTGATCTCTAATGACTGAGTTGAAAGTATAGTTACTGGATTAGGATAAATCTTAAAATTATCATAGGAACACCCAGATTTACACATTTTGGTTCAGCTAAACTCAGAACAACGACCGATTTTCACATAAAACCTGTTGAAATGTATTATAAAGTAGAAACGTTCCACATGAAACAATTACTCTTGAGAATGGTAATAAACAAGCCTACATATAGAGATAGGGTTGTTGATTGTAACTAAAAACAAGGGTATGAAAGTAATGAAGCCCAATTTGGACATTAACAAAAGAGCATATTAGAATAGTGATATCGAAAGCCTAAAGCGTGTGAATTGAATAGGTTTACTCCTTACAGGAAATATACATAATTCGATATTATAAGAGATTGGACGATATTAGTTCAACGGACGATGACAATGAATCATTAGTTACACTCATAACCAATTAGTTAGAAGTTGATTGCTCGATTTTTTAATCAACAATACTAACATAATAATTTTTCACTCTTAGTAACAGCCTTTGACCAGTGAGCAACTACATTACAGAGAGGCTTGTAAATGGCATGTGGATGCAAGCACAAAATAGCTTTAACAACATATGCCTTTAAGCTTCTCATAGCAATGATCAACTGAACATGTAATGACAAACCATACACGAGAAAAACGGGTTTTCAGCTCGAAATAGAAGTTATACTAAGAACTTGTGATGGTTATCAGCATTATGTTGCACTCAGAAACGGATGATGGTAGTCAAAAGAAATCAAGTAAGGGAATTTCCTTGTTAGTACATATATACCATGAGATGTTGAGCACTAATTGTGATAAACATATTCAGGATCGATATGCTTGAGTCATTAGTGTTAGAAAATACGTCTATACCTAGACTTTTTAACTAATAGCTGATAAACACTATTTCAATTTGGCGAAGAGTACAAAAAGTAACTACATGCTCCTTAAGAGATACTCTGAAGAGTTTAGAAAACCTTATTTCTATAATGGAATAACCACAAGATGAATGATCTGTATATTAGCTCGAATAATCTTAAATAGCCCTTTAAAGTCTTCGAACAAATCACTACTTGAAATTCTTGATATTAGAGAAAGGTTGCTTATTGGTACGACAATTTTTGTGCTACTGATAAAGCTAAATAAGACCAGTAACAAAATGAGGAACGGCAAATTTATTTAAACTGGACATGAGTAGGTGTAGTGAAACATCCTTAAGCCAAATAACCAGCAGTACTGATTTCACCAAAATATGCGTTATGACAGCTATCAAAAGTATTTCAGCTTATCAAGCACTTTTAATTACAAAAAACATAAAGAAACGGACAAGAACTGCAGTGTGATTACAGGCATAAAAAAATCGTGAATCAAATGAAATACGGTAGCTACACTGGAAAACTTGAGACACACCTTTAACAAGAGGTAAAGGATTAAGTTCGCGACTCTTCGGAACACCGAATCGAGAAGAAGTATGGAGCTTTTCTTTTCGTGTGACTAATGGACCAGAAAGAGAATTTAACTTGATGAGTTGGGTAGGAGGGGGATGAGCTTCAGCATGTGGTACGTTGTGGTGACGAGGAGCGTCAGATAATGCAGTACTATTTGGACATGAACTCTCCGTCACTAACATCGACGTATTTGGTGAATTCAGTTGGTTCGAGACAATTAAAGAATTCGCAGTTGCCATATGACTTTATTGAGAGAGTCTTAATATAATTTACAGAACCAATTATGCTCTCAAAAGGATTAACGAACATGCGAATCAACACCAGAGGACAAAATTCCCGCAATATCCAGAGTTTATTTTTGGCGGATTAGCCTGCTACAGAAAAACAGTCTTACATCAATACACTTTCAGTCATGATTCAGCAAACATAAATCTTCAAAGTAATAAAACTAAGCTTTTTTTACAATAAAGACGTCAATGTGGATTTCCAAAGGTTCTGTTTAAATCAATCAATTAAGGTGTATTAAATCACTGATGCAATTCAAACCAACTTTTGGGTCGATTTCCCTGCATTCAAAATGTCAGCAATGCAGGATGACTTTGACAGACTCGGAATATTCAAGGAAATGTCCTATATTACTATACGTGATCAGTATGATAAAAAAGACAGTCAAAAAACACGGTCAGCATTCAAAGGTAAACAAATGTATTGCGATGGATCCAAAGAAAAGTCTGCGACAGCAGATGGCTATTTCGGGCCTTTCATACGCATTTTTAATGGTGATAATAAAATTGATTATGGGAGGCTTATTCGAATCCAAAGAAAGGAAAGCTCCAAGAAAAATAAAGGAAAAGCTTGGATCCCTCCAAACGGAACACATCATCTTCTTGGCTTGGGCAGCACCATAGACACGTTTAGTGGACCTATACCTTACTTTAAACCAATAACTAAATTGAAAAGTCAAAGAGTGCCCCAACAGAAAAATTTTTACACTTCCCCTGGTAAAAAAGGCTGCGGCTCCTATATTGACATAACAATAGGAAAATACCCAAGTTATAAGAGTGATCCTTATGACAAAAAACCTGACAATGAACAAAGCTCATCAATCGGGAAGCAGTTTTATCTTAGCATGCACCCCCAGGAGTACTTCGATAAAAATCCTTACTATGAAGCACGTACTAAAAAAAGGCCTTCCACTGGATCTGTCATCAGTAAAACGATGCAATCTAAATCCGTATTCAAACCGTCGAGTACGCCAAAATTATTGGGCGGATGCAAAGATGGTTGCTTCAGCCCTTTTCCTTATTATAGCCCAGACAAATCCAAGAAAATTGTTTCCGAGAAGTTTGACCGACCTCCAATCAAAATGCCATTCTGTCCGAAACCATATCCTATTAGTTCTATTGTAGAAGTAAACATCAAAAGACGCATCAATTCATCTAATTATAAAAGTTCAAATCCATCAATTTTTGATCGTTAAACTTATCAACGTATTTATATACAGTTATGTAAGTTTGTAATATTTTTAACTCCAGTTGTTACTCATTCAATGAATGTCATTATAAGATTTTGTACCATAAATTTTTTATACCATCGGTTAATAATTATTACAAATCTGAAAATTATTGTTATAAAACAATACATTCTAACATTGTACTCAACTCTGTAAGAAAAAATGAGTTAGTCTTGTTTCCTGATTATTATTTTTTGTTTAGGTTAAGAAATCCAAAGTCTCATTTTAGCTCATAATGATAAATAATACTTATGATCTTGATTGATATGTTTTTACGAACCACAGTGCGTGGACTACGTTTAATTTTACGTATTATAGTTAGGTTAACCACCGTTTTGTAACTTAGAACTTCGTATGTACGTACATCATTTCAGGTTACTATAGCACATTAACACAGAGATGCAGTTGTACATTCAAATCTCATAGTAGTAGAGATAGTAGAAGTATTAGCAGTAATCAAAAAAAGATTATTGATCGAATTTATCATTCGAGATGTATACCTCAAAGAAATCAATTAAAGAGAGAGAAATTCAAAAGATTAGGAGTTGAGAGTAAACAAAAAATGGATGCATCTGTATCATCATTACCAACGGTTTTTTTTATGTCATTTATGATCTCTAACAATCGATTGCGATCATGTCCAACTATAGACAGACAAATAAAACGCAGAACTTCGTATGTAAGTACATCAGTTCAGGTTGCCATTCCCCATTAGCACAAAGATGCAACTGTCAGTTCAGATCCAAAGGTGACAGCAATCATAGAAGTATTAGAAGTAATGGGGAACATTAAGGAGCGAAGAAATGACATGATTTGAGAAGTATAATTCAGTGAGATAAATTTAGAAGGAGAAAGGTAAAGGTGATGAGGAATTCATAAAGTCAAAATTAGAGAGAACACAAAGAGTGGATGCATCTGCGCCATTGCAAACGATTTTGAGCCATGTCGTTCAAGGTCTCTAACCATTGGTGACTATCGTCTCGCGGACCCCAACCAGGTAGCCTACATCTACCAACATGACTCAGTCCACTAGTCAGTGACTTCATGGATTTCTGCCATGTTTTGGTTTGGCCACCCCTAGCTTTCTTCCAACCTACTCCTACACTACAAAACATAGCTTGTCGAGGCAGTCGGTGGTTAGAAATACGTAACATATGTCCCAATCACCTCACTACTTCATCTACTGATTTGCCATCCTTACCTAGAATACGTATAAGCATTGCTTATACGGTTGTCCCATGATACACGAGCAATGCTTCGGAGACATCGATGACCGAAGACTAGTAACTTACGGAAATCCTCTACTCTTAACGGCCAAGTGTGTCCAACTATAGTATGTATTGTATAATTTCTGTGAAAACTCATTTTGTGGAACTATAGAAGCTCATGTTGGTAGATGTAGGCTACCTGGTTGGAGTCCGCGAGACTAAAGTCACCAATGGTTAGGGATGTTTAATGACATGTCTCAAAATCGTTTGCAATGGCGCAGATGCATCCACTTTTTGTGTTATCTCAAATTCTAACCTTTTGAATTCCTCATCATCTCTCTCTTTCTCTCCCTAAATTTATCTCACTGAACCATATACTTCTCGAATCATATCTTCAAATCCTAATCTTCTTCATTACTGTTAGTACTTCTACTATCACTAACACTGTTGGATTTGAATTGACAGTTTCGTCTCTGTCTGCTAATGTAGTATGGCAACCTGAACTGATGTACTTAACGTATGAAGTTCTGTGTTCTATCTGTCTGTCTATCTGTCCTGTCTCTAGTATTTCATGAAAACTCTGTATTCATTATAATTAGTCATAATCATTAATGATTTTATTCAAATTCGGACATTTCTTTATTGTATTATTTTTAGTGAAATAATATTTCCCTATAATATTATATAAATGACTAACACATTTTCAATAAACATGTGTAGGTTTGTTTTTTGTTTGTTTATTTTTTTTCAAAATCAATATGCTAATTTGATTTAAACATGAATACATTGACAAGTATTTATCATTATCAATGTAACTATAGTTACATCTGTAATAAATACATTCTATAACTTAATCTTTTTGAAGAAAAAAAAACTGAAATATATAGCATTCAGAAATACATCGACTAATGTATATTTGCTTCTTTATTTTGACAAGTTGAAATCAGATTAATAATTTTACTAGGATCCTGTATGCGCGAATCTGAGATGCAACATACATCGATTGAGCGAGATTCTAGTGTTCTATCGAATGATGCCTGTTGCCCTATTCGACACAATGTCCGTTCATTTTATGCTGGAACATGTAATTTACAACGTTTCAGGAGACCAGGAATGACGTTTCGTGAACTTGCATCGTTTGCATTAGAGGTGCAGTGAGAAAAGGGACTGTGAGTAGAGTTCGTTGTGGAGAGAAGAGAGGTACTTGATTTCGACCAATTTGGTCTCTCGTGCTGTTACGGATATGAGGGCGGTTGTCACTTCCCGGATGCCCACACCGTGGAATATTGTTTCTTGAGGAACCTGAAAAGGAAGATAGATTAGTGTTGGTCTTAACAACTTGGGTGCGTGACCGCAGAGCTCAAAGGACAACTGCTTGAGGCCGGTCACGCACGGCCTTTTTATGAAATGTTTTTTGAGTATTAACTCCGCTCTTGAAAGTCCTTAGTGAGCACCCCTACCCAAGGAGACGGAAATCCGTGAGGTAGGGTGAGGTGTGACATTTTTAGGGTCGACCTTTTCTAACCCTTCCTTCCTTGTCAGAAGGCAGAATCGCTGCAGATGCTGGTTGTCCGATGGAAACACCTTACTGCTGTCATACCCCGCCATCACAGTCAGCAGTACGACTTCGCCCTCAGACCTTGAGTAGCTGCTTTTAATCTCATCGTTCTTCAATTGACCTGCCTGGCATGGTAGCACCTTCAGAAACATATGTTCCTGCCAGTATAGCTCGGTTGGGTCATCACGATAGTCAAGCCCGACCACCGCGTCAAGGTAGCAGCTACGGTCGGGCGACTAATGTATATATTTATAATACATCTTCAGTATTGCTTTTTGTCATGTAATTAAATTGAATTTATAACGACACCCAGTCTTGAAGCAACATTTTGCATTTCGAGGAGGAAAACCGCATCCCGAACATGCTTGGATTGTTGCTTATGGTAGTCCGAAGACTGTGCATTTTGTCAGCGTCTTCACCGAATAGAACTATGTCATCAGCATATTCTAGGTTAGTAAGCAATTTTCTTGGTAGAAGGTCAACCCCTGAAAAATCTGACGAGTTTAATATTAACTCTAAGAGGAGGATGTCTACGACAAAGTTAAACAAGAATGAAGAGAGTGGACAGCCTTGACGGATACCATTTGATGTAGAGAATTCAGATGACAATTCGCCATAAGATTCACACACACAACGGAATAGTGCAAATTAATCTACAGATATGAGATTTTGCAATGATTAACAGTCAAATATTCAGTCAGATAATGGAATATTTCAAAATGACAGTAGTTTTTGATTGGTTTAGCATAAGAAAAATGAGAATCATCAATGACATTGCGTAAGAATCAGCATAAATAGCTAGATGTTAGAAGATAAACCACTTTTTTTGTCTACCAAAATGTGTAACATTATTACTACCCTTGTTTTACACATATTGAAATGTCTAAAATTTTCAGGGGTTGACCTTCTACCACGAAAGTCGCTTACTGATCTAGAATATGCCGATGACATAGTTCTATTCGGTGAAGACGCTGACAAACTGCAGAGTCTTCTGACTACCATAAGCAACAATGCGAGCATATTCGGGATGCGGTTCTCACCCTCGAGATGCAAAATGTTGCTTCAAGATTGGGTTGCATCGGCACTTGATCTAGTGATAGGGAGTGAAGTAGTCGAGCGTGTTGAACACTTCACTTATCTGGGGAGTCTCATCAGCGCGGATACAGAAAGCTCGATTGGCTTTTGCCAACCTGCGTCACTTATGGCGTAGGCGTGATATCCGTTCGTTAACCAAAGGACGGGTGTACTGTGCTGTAGTTCGCTTCGTTCTCCTATATGGATGTGAAACATGGGCGTTAAGAGTAGAAGATGTTCGTAGGTTACTAGTCTTCGATCATAGATGTTTAAGAAGCATTTCTCGTATATCGTGGTACAACCGAGTAAGCAATGCTGTCGTTAGGAAACGAGTACTAGGTAAGAATGACAGATCAATAGATGAAGTGGTGAAACTTGATCAGTTGAGGTGGTTGGGACATGTGTTACGAATGCCTAACCACCGACTGCCTCGACGAGCTATGTTCTGTGTTGTTGTAGGAGTATATTGGGAGAAAGTTAGGGGCGGCCAGACCAAAACATGACAGAAATCCATGAAGTCACTGACTAGTGGACTGAGTCATGTTGGTAGATGTAGACTACCTGGTTGGGGTACGCGAGACAAAAGTCCCCATTGCTTAGAGACTTTGAACGACATGGCTCAAAATCGTTTGCAATGGCGCAAGTGCATCCATTCTTTGAGCTCTCTCAAATCTTAATCTTCTGGATTCGTCAGCACCTATACCTTTGTCTTTCTAACCTTAATTATAGTTCTGGAATAATATCTTCGAATCCTAGTCTTCTTCACTACCGTTAATACCTCTTCTATCTTTATCACTATGGGATTTGATTTGACATCTGCGTCTTTGTGCTAATGTGGTATGGCAACATGAACTTATATACATCGGTACGTAGTTCTACGTTGCAACTGACTGACTGACTGAAATGTCTAAAATGAAAACCAGAAAAATATTTAATTCAGAGCTGTAATTCTTGAAACAATACTTCGAAATACCAACAAAAACTGATTGTCTGATTTTATTGAATTCAAATAGTCGACTTTTTACATTGAACCAGACTAAATGTAGAATTCAGTTTTAGTTTGCACGTACTCCATTGTACACAAATACTTTAATGTGAAAAAAAATTTGAAATAGTTCTTTACAATAAAACAGTTTTAATATGTAATTTCTTTTA